CGCAGGTTCGATTCCCAGTCAAGGGCACGTACCTGGGCTCCGGTCGGGTGCGTGCGGGAGGCGACCCGGGGACGTGTCTCTCTCGTTCATGTTTCTCTCTCCCTCCCTCCCTCCCTCTAAAAATTTTTTGTGACTTCAGGGAAATGGCAGTGTGCAGGCCTGTGGGGTGGGATTTCTGTGTCCTGTTCCGCTTATACCTACGTTTTGAGGCTGCCATTAATTAAAGTGTCGGTTCTTCTACTCTCTTTAAAAAAATCAATGGAAAAAATATCCCGTGAGGATTAACAAAAAAGAAAACAAACAAAACCCCGTTTCTCGGCTGACGGCGGCACCGGCGATGCGACCTTGGGGGCCGCAGCTGCGCCACATTCCCGACACCCCAGAGCGTTCCCACGGCGTGGAGCCTGCGCCAGGGCGTGTCCGCCTATCCGCCCACTGACGGCAGGAAGCGAACGGCCTTGACCATAAGGACGCGCCTGAGGGTCTTCGCGGGGACGGGTTAGCACCTCTGCTGAGGGACTTGGAGAAACACGTTTTACTTAATTGGGATGAGCTGACTTGACTGGGACGGAATGAACAGCTGTCCCGTCCTTACTTCTGCGGGACTGTGAGCCGTCTCGGCGCGAATACGTCGTTACCTCCAATACGCCCTCATTACCACCCACACCTGGACGCCGCTGAATTCAGTCCTCGGGAGTCGTTGGCACGCCAGAAAGGAAATTCAGAAATTAGCCTTCTACCATCTGAAGCACAAATACGCAATCAAGATAAAACACATTCTGAACGGCAAGCGTCGGGTTCTGCTGAACGTGGCAGGCACGCGGAAGCCCCGTTGCACTCCCTTAATCAGGGCTTCAAAGACACCAGCATAAAAGGAGGGACAGTAATCAAGCCGCGGGCGTCCAAACGAGGGCCTGGATCCTGGAGACACCCGGCTTTGAAGGCAGCAGATTCAGCAGGAAAGATGAAAGCCATTTTGACACTTTAATTAACGTCAGTCTCAAAACATAAGTGTAAACGGAACGGGACACAGAAGTCCCACCCCACAGGCGTGCACACTACCATTTCCCCAAAGTTACAAAAAATGACGCGGGCGGCCCGAGTTCTGGGCCGGCACCGGTGGGTCAGCAG